TTTGAGAGTCTTCAAAAGTATCGTTGAGTTCCACTGCAGGTATTTCTCGATGCCCTGGTCCCAGACGAAAGTGTTGGGACATCCTTTCAGCTCGGGTGACATATACGACAATCCTTATTGGCGACTCTTGAGCTACCGCTGGTTTGACCAAGTAAGGATATCGCTCGCGGCGAAATCGAAACTGTTGACTCATTGAATCACCCCCCTTCGAATGTCGGACCAGAGCATAAAGTCTTACAATATCCTTATGCCCAACCAGCGTTAGGAAGGGGGCGGCTACGAACAGTAGTGCATTAGCTTGGTCCGCCAACCACACTGCTTCTGCGTTCTGCTGCTCTCGACAGTGTGGGAATATAGGTTAGGTCTCTTCAACTGAGCTCGTAAGGTTCCTTACTACGTTATGGAAATCCACGCACGATGTTGGGTAGAAGTATACGAAAATCAACGATGATTCCCCGAAGTTTTCTGGGGATTTCGATATCGTTACCAAAACTATGAAAATCCACATATGATTTTGGATAGAAGTAAACAAACGATAATTTCCCAAGAGTTCCATGTTGTTACCAATGCATGTAGTTGACCATGTGCATATACTCTCGCACTGGAAAGTCTTTCTCATAATTACTAACCGAGTGGTATGAACTTCGTATTAGATGCAGTGGAGAGGCCTGGCATCGACAGTGCCCCAGTTCCGACGAGAGGTGTTGAAGATCCCTAGGATAGGCATGTGGCACAGCGCTGGGTCGTTATTGGAGGATTGGGGGGTAAGCGTCTTCACAGGAGATAGTGATTTATGAAAATCATTGTGTTGCTCAGTACCATCTGAGTTTTCATGAGCTGATCTTTTGTCAAATAGACTTGGTGAAAATGCAGATCGTTTGCTAACTTTCCTGAGCCTATAAGATGAATATAAATATAACAAGTGCTATGAAAACAGGTCTGGCTAGGAACCTTTTTGGAAGGCTTTATATATGAATATTCATATGAGAAGCCTATAAATTCACTATGATCAACTTGGAAATACCAATCAGACTAGTGCAGTGGTGATGCCGCTCCTATGGTGTGTCAACCACCGAGTTTGATTCTTCAGGTTCCCTTCTCGTATTCATTCTCACCGAGTCTTTTCCCGAAGCCCCCGGATTGGGGCCCGAACCTCGACATAACTGGCTTCTGCGTGGGGTCTCGTAAGAAGTGTACCTTGGGGTGGTTATTCATGCTTATATGTTAGTGGGAGAGAATACGACCTATGAGCCTCCCGCTATGCTGGCTAAGTTCCTCAGCAGGGGGTGCAAGCCGTTCTATGTCGGTTTTGGCAGTATAGCTGGGGACCTGTCGTATATGTGAGGAGCAATTTCGTGGCGCAGTGACGCGTGAGGTGCCCAAGTCAGATACAAACCCATCCTAGAGGCAATAAAGGATATCCCCGATCTCAGAGTTGTCCTCCAGAAGGGATGGGGGACTCTTAAGGACATAACCGCTGAGGACTTCATTCACATCCCAAGTGACTTACATCAACTGCTTTACTCTCTTATTCCAATTCTATCAGACTTGAAGGATCGAGTTTTCTTCATTTGTACTCCTCCTGCGATTTGCCCGAAGTGTGGTAAGAAGCCCGAGGCTCGTTCACAGTAGGGGAGTTGTTGACGTCTTTTATCGGCTCTTCTGATGTGTTGTTCTCAGTAGTGACGGCCTATTCTGTGATGACTGTGTGGACTCATCATCAATAGAGTATGCCGAGGGTACCTGGGAATATGATATACTCAAAGCCCTAGGCCGGGATAACATAGCCTTCCTTTCATGTACGTCAATAACAATAAGAGTATTAGTAGTCCATCGATGATCTCCTCCTCCTCCATTGTAGCCATACCACACACTTACCTCTTCCCCAAATGCTGTGCTGTTATGCATCATGGTGGTGCCGGTACTACCGCTATGGGATTGGACTTTGGCCTGCCAACCTCCGTTATATCCTTCTTCGGGGACCAATGGATCTGGGG